CAGCCAGGCTCTTCTGACATAATTCAGGTAAGAGAGGCCGATACATGATTTGGGCTTTCAATATATACTCTAAGTTTGGCGTGCTTGTCCCGCATTTAAGCGTGGCATCCCAGAGTCGTGTTTAAATGACTCACAAGCGTGGCTTCGGATTCCGTTACGCGTTGGTCATCAGAGTGACAACTCAGAGTTGGGACGCTTGATAAGAATGAGTGTATTGCTTAAACTGGGTCATGGCCAAAGTGAATAAGTTAATTTCCATTGTTATTTGAGTCTACTTGTATTATTTTAAGGCCCAGCCTAATTGTGTCATATCGCGTGGGGTAGCGCTGAACGCGTGGGGAAGCGATGGAGAGAGTGGAGCCAGCGGGTCTCACAAAGGTGAGGACCAGCGGGTCTCAACAGAAGGCAGGAGAGCAATAGACACAAATGTGTCAAGTGTTGTCACCTCAACTGTTCCCTTTGGATGGTTGTTCCAATCCCTGGTTGTGTTGGGAGGAATGAGCAGTTCTTGCACTGGGTTCTTGCTGGTATGAGCCGGAACTGCCTGTCATGGCCTTGTCGCTGTCTATGGGGGAGATGGAAGAGTTTCTGTTAAATGTTGGAGCAGTGGACCAGCCCTTTTTTAAAATATTTTTACATCATGGAGACCCTGGAAAATCATCGTCGTTCCTACAATGATGATCAGTCCAGTGTTTCCAGCATGCTGCCAACATTTTAGGTGTTAGCGTATAATGGTATATTTTAGTAAAAAAAATAATTGTAGCCTCACATATTTAAAGACTTTAATAACACGGTTTTAAACTAAATTTATATCAATATACAGGACAATAGCGTTAATAAAGTTTTTACTGAGACTAAGAATAAAACATGTGCAATCTGTTTAAAATTAAATTTCATCAAAAAAGCATGACAAGTTCGGAGAGGTTTTGTAAAGTATGTGATGGCATCAAGCTTTAAAAATATACTTAATAGCATAATTTTAAATTTACTTGATTCCGTTTAATTTGAACTTTTATAAAAGGCCTCTAAAAATTATATAATTTTTTTTTTTACTTAACATTTTTTAATTAATAATGTATCGGGAGCATATATTTAATGTATTTATTCAATTATTCTTATTAAATCGAAATTGTTTGTCTTCTTTATATGTGCTACTTTTGTAACACAGTTTCCAAAATAACAAATCTATTTTTTTAAATTAGCCTATATTTGTTAAATTTCCAACTGCCTTTCTCTTTTTTAGTATAAGATAAGATAAGATACGATTCTTCTATTGATTTAAACAAATGGAAATGTTTTATGATTGCATTTTACATTTTCAGCACATAAATATAACAGTTTGAACACAAGACATTTGTAATAAATTATTTCACCAGCATAAAAAAAAAAAAAAAAAAAAAAAAAAAAGAAAAAGCCATTCAGTGAGTTCTCTCAGCCATATCATTCCATGGGCCCACGTTCTGGAACCAGCTCCCCTTCCATATCCGTCATTGTGAAACCTCGTCCATTTTCAAAAAGTCCCTTAAAACTCATCTGTTTAGGTCCGCCTATGACCTGTGATGCGCCCTCCTTGCCCTGCCTCATTTTCTGTTTCGGGTTGATCCTGAAGTATAGGCCAAAACGTGTCAAAGTGTCCTCGTTTTATAGCCATTTTAATTGTTTCTAGAGTATAGTAGTTACTATCCTAGTGTCTCATTTTATTTTACTTAGTTTACATGTTTTTAATAATTGTAAAGCGCTTAGAGCTTTATGGTAAGCGCTATATAAAAATGCCTAAATAAATAAACAAATATCATGGACTTATTAGTTCTCATGAAGATTTGTGACTTCAGGGGGAGCACGCTGGTAAATTCGTATAGATTGGAGAAAATTTTTTTTAAATATCTTTCAGTCCTCGCCCTGACGGAAAGAATTCACCCCGAACGGGCCGATCCTAAGTATCTGTCATGAAGAAGGTTGAATATATCATCAAAAATGTTTTTAGTTTTACAATAACCTCTTTCTTCAAATAGTTCTTCAAGTGAAGGATGTCTAGTTTGTGTTATGTTCCTAGCTTTCTTGATTAGTTGGTGTGTGCCGTGTTTAATATCAGACGTTGAATTCTCAGAACAGCAGGTAATACTGAAATTAAGTAGGCTTCTAATTGTTGCACTGTAGAATAAGTTAACGACTTGTTTGTTTACGTCAAAATTGTACAGTTTTTTTTTAATGTATAACAGTCTTTGGATGATATTCTTATACAGCATTTGACCGTGCTCATGCCATGTTAGCTTATTATTAATGGTGACACCTAAGTACTTATATGCCTCTACTCTCTACACTTTGATTTTTTAAGTTGAGATCTGTAATCTAGTGTTTCCCCCTCCTGAAATCCCTAACCATTTCCTTTGTTTTTGAGACACCTCGGAGAAAAATAATAAACAACCGGCTCCATCTATTTTCACGCATTATTTTTTTTTAATTTTTTTTTGCTTAGATGAGAATCCAGTAGGAAACTATTTACAAATTTGAAAGAAAAAAAAACAAAAACAAAAAACACGTTTTTGTGAAGTAGCATTTCGATTGCTGATCACATCTTGTTTTTGGTGCTGTTTTTAGAAGAAAAAATATCGTTCTAAATCGTCAGGTTCAAAATACATTAGGTGGATTTGGTA